TGAGAAACTGTCCTTCTTTTGCACGTCCTTTTGACATCAGATTATATTGAGAACAAAATATGGAATTACAGATTTAGAATAGGAAATAAATCAAAGTATTTTCTTACTTAGTTTACCACTGTTTTCTTTAACTGGCGATCATATTTTATTGTACGGCATCACCTTTTACAGTTAATGCAGAAGAAAAAGCACTCAAGAAATGATAAATAATAATATACTTTAATGTCCACATCTGAACAAAACTGTTGCATGAAACTTTTTACGAAATTATTGTTTTTATTTTCTGCCACTTTACCAAATTGAGTTGTAATGTTTTATTTACTGATATTCTAATACAGAGAGTAAAAAACAGCAACATCTTACATTTTTTGTTAGAGGAAGAATTTTATAGAGAGTTATTTAAAAATCAAAAGACATTAGAAACTGTAGGAGTTCAATCAAAATTCAGTTCAATCTATTATGGACAATTATTATTTCAGAATGGTTTTGAGTAAAGAATAAGATAGGCATATTAACAAATGCATTATAAAATCATTAAGTAAAATTTAACCATCACCTTCATAAGCTATTTTAAGTTCTTATGTTAAATACTTCTGAAAAGCAATTGTTTTATTTTAAACACCTTGATGTTTTAATTATTACTCATCACAGTAATACAATACTGCTAAACTGGCAGAGAGGTTCAGAATGTATTTCAGATCGCAGCTCAAGAACCATGCAAATAGGACCTCTAGAATTTCAGGTAGAACGGAGCTAAGGAGAACTTCAGATATTATTGAGAATTTATAAAGAACTTACTAGTGAAGTGCATCAAACTGGGATCTTACATCATGATAGTACTTGTAGATACAGTAGTTCTATAAGGTTGGTACCTTCTTCTGGTGTATTCTTAGATCATATGACTCCGTTAGCAAGTTACCCTTTGCTTTTTTGCTAATACCAGAATAATGATGTGCTTGGCAGGAATCAGGCCAGAAAATTTTTAGTTTATGACACACACAGTTGTGAACAAATTCAAATGCCTTCTTGCCATATTCCTCAGATTCAGCCTGATAGTATGCTGCAATCATATGATTATATTTTGAATATCTTTATTTTACACTTACCTTATAGAGCAATACAATAATAAATAAACCAAAAAATAATATTGCTTAGAAAAGAATTTGTACTTTATCAGGTAGTGAAATAATGGGATTTTAAAAGAGACTATTTATGATCACATAAGAACTTCAGACAATAATAGTGAAAGTTGCACACTGACTAAGTAATTTCAAAAAGAAGCAAGAAGAAAGTTTCACCTTACATTTTTATTGTGTAATTTTTTTTTTACTTGAGCACATTGTTTTATTGTTAAAACAATATAATATAACTTTAGTTATATTGACACAGTTTTAGAAGCCATACAAAGCTGTAAAATATAAGAAAAAGCATTCTTTAAGAAAAGAAATCACCCCATGAAGCTGATTTCCAGATGTTTGGAAACATTAGAATTTCCTGCCAGTACATTTAGGTAACACTAAAATGAGTTAACTTTCCATTCTGCCAGCCCTCTTCAAAGATGAAAGAAAAATCACTGCATAAATTGCCTTATCTATAATTCACTGAAGTAAGCTGTGGAATGAATTCTGAAAGAAGCAGAATTCTCTTTTGGTTAGTATCACAGCTTCTAAACTAACTGTATTTTTATATCCACTTTACCCTTAAAATGAAATTAGTGACTAAAATCAAATAGATGTTAATGAGTTATGATGTTGAGTAGTTTGTTTGAACTGAGTTGTGTGTTTGACTTAGTTTTGGATGTGAATTTTTTTTTTGGGGGGGGGGGGGCTCTTCAGTCTACTCGTTTCTAAAATCAGCCACATACTGTCTGTGCATTTATTCCAGTAGCCTTGAACTGACTTCTAATAGTTATGGACACAGCAGGTAATCTTTGATGTCTAGCTTGCATACCTAGAACCAGCTGTGACCTGAAGAATCTAAATGAGAATTTACAAGTTTAAGTGACATTTGAGAAGAAAATATGGATGTTACCCAAATCAACGTTGATATGTCAAATGCTTTTTTTAAAAAAAACTCTTTTTTTAAATTTTATGGTTGTTTTCTCATGCTTTATGAAATGTGTGCATAGAAAGGAAAAGAGGAGGGGAAAATGCAGACATATACAGGCACCAAGGAAAGAATTCTTATTGCATTTAATGAATGGCCAGTTTTGTTTGGTTTCATAAGAGTTTTGGTTTACTACTCGACATACTTTTAAGTCACCTCTAGACAAGATGGGTGGCCCATAAATATATTATTATGTTCTACCTACTAATAATACCTTTTATTTCAATGTATCAGAATTATTCTATTCTTGTTACTTTATTAAAAAATAATAGTGATTTTCTTCCTGATTAAGTATATAAAATTATACTTTTCATTTTTTTTAAAAATGTTAGTAGGTAGATGGTGCTTATAACATGAGTTCATACTTCATGCATTTTATCAATGGAATTATTTAGTATACTCTTCTTTTTGATCCAAGTGAGTGTCTTTAGTATCTTTAAGTCATAAGCCAAGGTGTGGAAATATATATATATATATTTAAAAACTCTTCCATGATCCAACTACATTTTTCATAGGACTAATTCTGTTAATATATTTAGTACAAGATGTGCAGCACTTTGAAACATATCGTGTGTATCATATTATTTCTCTCTACTATGATTTCCTAATAAATTTAATTTTGATCCATACTATGGTATATTTTCCATCCGTTATTTTTGTGTCTTTTACTGTACCTATCATTTATAATATATACATTTATGAGTATCTACATTTATGTTGAATTAATACAGTTGTAGTCTTCAGCAAATAACATAATAAAAATTCTCTGATAAAATTTGGCTAGGCCAATATGGCCTAAACCTTAATTAATCATGGCAATGGTAGTAGAGTGTTGTATTCTATTATATCTGACACAAAAACATTAGAAAAATCATATATTGTTATTTGGAAATTTAAAATGTTAAAAAAAGGCAAGTTAGGGCAAGGGAAAAAAATACAAGTATCTCTAAAGTTGCATGCAATTTTCCAGAAGACCAAGAAATGTCTTTATTGATACATACAAAAAATAATAATTTCAGAATTTCCCTTAAATTCATATATTTAACAGGAAATTTGAATGTCCTCTCCTGAGTTCCTAAAAAAGAATACAGATCAGATATTAAGGCAGAGTAAATTAAAATGAACATGCATTTGCAATAATTTAAGTATACCAAATTTAGAATGAAAATATAAGTGATCTTTTTTTTCTTTATCTGTGACAGTCTAAATTCTGAAAACACGAAAACATTTAAGGCTTGTGGCCTGGAATAAAAAATTACCAAAATATTGCCATTAGTATCAAAATTCAGAAGGCAAGCCTATATTACAAAATTATGATGTGCTTAAAATATTTTTGATTAAATATTGAATGTGGAACACAATAACTACATTCTAAATAGTATATATAAAAAATGTAGAGGAATTTATGCCATGTATTAGAATAAAGTTGTAAAATGATGAAATTATTTTATAAATCCCAAGACTTGTTAATGTATTAATGCTGACTATTTTATATCAATTAAATAACAATGTATATTATTTGATATATTTTTCAACATTTAAATGTATATCCAATTTAAATATTGAATAGTCAAGATTCTTGCTATATTTAAAGACTAAAAAGGAAAAAAAGGAAAAATTACAGTAGATAAACCCAATAAATATTCCAAAATGCAATTAGGATCGTAGCCAATGTTTATTGAAATAAAAATAAAGGTCCAAAAACCTTAAAATACTAGTATAATTGATCATAATCAAGGAACCTTATTATTAGCAGTATCCTTTCATAAAATGTTAATGATAAGATACATATATACATATGCATATACATATTTATTTATTTTTTATTGGTTGCCTCATCACACAGATTATCTTCACCAAAAGTAATATCAATTTTTAATCTGAATGCTTAATTATAAAAATGCTAAATAGTCACAATAATGTTGGCCTTTATTATATCATGTTCAGTGTTAGTATTATTAGCTATGCATAATTCAATGCAAAGGCATTTTTAAACTGATTCTGTGACCTTCTGTTTTGAAGGAGAAAAATATTGATCTGTCTTTTGAGAATGTTTATATACCTGTTTAGACTTATATAACTAGAATATCTGTAACAAATATGTTCAGAACAGATTGTATATTTCAGGATACAAGGTAATACAGTGTTTTATAAAAGCTGCTTGTTAATTTTTTTGATTAATGTGTAGTGAGACCAAAAATTCCATTCAGTATAGCATGTTTTCTGAAGATAGATGATCTCAAATAAATTCTGTGCCCAATCAATGTTTGATTTGTTAGGTGTTAAACCTTTTCTTTGTAAGAACAGTGTTTATAAGCCTTGTAATGAGCCAGCCCCCTGTGACATTATAGTTCTTTCTGTAATTTTGATAAATGGAATTCTAATTTGTAAAGGATACATTGATTGAAGGGCAGCTTTCAGTGTTCCACACTTTCATTTAGATAAATGTTTATTACATTGTGGCAAACTAAATGATGGAGAATGACCAAAAAAAAACACCCGTAGTTTCTATCATCCTAAAGGACTCAAGCAATTCTTTAAAAATTGTATATTTCATATTATAAAATAAAATTAATTTCAAAAAGATTTATATAAATTTATATAAACTACACATTGACCAAATTCAACCGAATGACTAGTGTATGTCTAGCAAATGTACCTTATCAGTTAGTTAGTGTGATACTTTTATTTTTTAAAGGTTATATCTTTTATTTTGAAGTTTACATAATATTAACCCAATAATCCTAACTTGCCTTTGTCTAAAACATGACATCTGTTTTTTGTAAAGGTTTGAAAATATATTTTAAAGTACAAATTAATTTTGTATTTGAAAACATTTAATGGACATTTAGACTAAACTGAAATGTTGAATGAAAACAATGTTTATTTTATAGGAACTGAAGAAGATGTGGTAAAATCAAAGAAAACCTTTCGAAGTCAAGCAGTTGTCAACCAAAATGCTGAAACTGAACTCATGCTAGAAGGGGATGATGATGCCGTCAGTCTGCTGCAAGAGAAGGAGATTGATAATCTTGCAGGTATCAAAAAATATTCTTAATACAGATCTAATTAGAAAACTTGATCTAAACGTTCAATTTTTGGCAAGAAGAAAGTTGTTATCTAGCTCCTATATTTTAGAAAAGTTTTGTGGCCCATAGAATGTGGCACAGCTGCTATTTAAAATATTGATTAGTGTAATATGTTCTACTGAATCTGGTCACTAATCATTACAGTCATTATACACATATTGTATTGAGCTTTATTTAGCCCAAAAATAAGATTGCTACATATTAGAATAATAGATAGGCCAATCTCACCATTAATACTTTAAAATATTTTCATGGAAAATCTGTTTTAAATGTTTTGTTTCTTTCCAAGTTACTATTGCTACATAGACCTGTAATTATATGTTAATTATAGGAGGACAATTAAGACAATAACAGTATTAAATTTTATTTCTTATATTTTATTTAAATGCACAACTCTGCAACCCATGATTTTTAACCCTTCATTATCCTTTTAGCTTAAAAATAGGTTGCTTCCATATGTGTACCCATAATAGTATGTGGCAATGACCTTGTAAGATCATCCAAAGAGATGTTGCCTAGGGAACAGTCAGATAAGAGGTAGCATAGCCCAGACCTGTATATGAACAGACTGGGAGGTTCAAAAAGGACTCTCCCTAACTTCTCATCTTGCAAAGGAAAAGGCAGCAGAATTATACTTTCAGACTTGCAAGATTGATGTCAGCCTTATCAGGTACAGCAGATGGAAATCATGGCTATATAAACTAATTCTATTTATTGTAAAAATATACTAACAGAAGTCTGAAAGTACAATTCTCCTGCCATCACCATTATAGCCAGTAACTTAGTGAGGGTGGCTTCTGACTCTCTCATTCTTCTCACACGGCAGGTACGGCTAAGCTTCCTTTTATCTACCCATTCTCTGGGCAGTATGTCTTCTCCCAGTCTCCCAAGATCATTCTTACATATCGTTTCAGTATCCAAAATGATGTGAGAAACTGAGATGATTTATCTTTTGGTTCAGTTCTTTCCCCAGAAAACAATTTTGTAGCATTTTCTTTCAATTTGCACCTTCCTTTTGGAGGAAATAACCATTCTATCCTATCCCTCCAGGATTTTCCTTCTATATCCATGAGAAATTAGACAGTTCACTATTTTCTTTCCTTTTCCATAATTATTGATTTGTTTCTTTCTCACTTAAAAAATAAACAGAACAAGGAAATAGGAAAGATGACTGTGAGATCAGGATCCAGGCTGAAGTACTATTTTTTATTCTGTTCTAATTCTTTCTCACCCATCATCATCTACCAAAACCTCAAGGATATTAGAACACTTACGTGGGAATATAAAAATGCAATAGAAGTAGCACAAGACTGATAGCTGTATGTGAAATGACCAGACTTTGTTTAGGGCATTATTTTTTTATTTTCTAATGATGTAAGTATGTCTCAGAAGTGGTTGTTGTTGTTGTTGTTTTAAAGGGCAACTGGGCTGTTTTTTCCCCTTGAGGTAGAAGAACAAAATGTTTCATTTCTCATCCAAGAAACTTCATCAGTTGTGATGGGAGAATCACAACGGATGGAAGGATAGGTACTGACAGTTGTGGCTGTCTGGATAGAACATATCTTTCCATTCCCTCCCACCCCCCCATCCAATTGCCTTTTGAAAAAAGCAATTCTGAAACAACTATCACCTATATGACTGAGAATCTCCACAGACTACATAAGTAGAATATGATGGATTAGATGTCTTTTTCCTCTTAGCCATTTCTCTTGGTTTCAGTACTTAGAACCAGTTGTGAATGGCTACATCCCAAAAAATCTTTAGCTGACTAAATCCCACAAAACACATCATTAACCTCTAGTTTTCTCCCAAATAGGTTTAACTCCTTTTCTTACCAGCATTTCCTCTGTGCTGCTGGGATTCCCCACCTCACTAACTAACTGTTTCCCAAGCCTCCATTTCCATCCTACCACAACTATGGCAGCTATTATTACCTGGCTCATGTTCCAACAGTTACTAATGTGATAAGTATTAATCTTGTATGTCCCTTCTCTGGGATTTCTGGAGACCTACTGCAAAGTCCCCTAGTTGCTATTGTTATCTCATAGGTTCCCTTTTTTTCTGCTTTGCATCTGGGAAATACTGTAGGGGTTTCCCTGACTTTTTCAAGGATCCCAATTTGTTACTTTTTAGATATAATTGACATGCATATTAATTAACTAAAATAACTTTAAAATGTTAGCATTTCATTGCACATAATCTTTTCATAATTAAATGATCTTTAAAATCTGGTAAACGGTTTCAAGGTTTTAAGAACTATACAATAATATAGCTGGCTAAGAAGATATGGCCAATTTAAAACATAAATCCATTTCAATGTCTTATTTAATATTAACAAACATTTCATAATTTTCTGTTCCAGTTTTAGCTTCTAAGTTCCTTCCCAGACTGTTCATTTCAAGAGGCAAGTTTTTATTGATAAATTACAGATAGAAAGATCAATCCATAGTAGCAGTGTCTGATAGATAACTCTGTAAATCAGTATCTCAGTTTGCACAATTATACTGAATTGATTATTAACACATTTTTTATTATCTAATCCCTGACTTTTAGAAATGATTTTCAGTAGTTTTCCTGGTAACTAATTATACTAACATGCAGTTATAAAAGATAAATTTTCCATGATAAAGCTATTGTATTATGTAAGAATAATTTAATACAGTTAGAATAATCCCTTTTTATGTTAATATTGAAGTGAATGTTTATTAAATAATATGTAAAATGTATTTTTAATGCAGCAACATACTATATCAGAATTTGTTTCTGAAGAACAGAGATATGGGCAGGACAAATATCAACCATGTTAGAAATATGTAGGAGTGCTTAAAACCGTTATGCAATCAAGCCATGGACTCGTTTCATCTCTCTCTTTCAACTAGCAGTGACAATCTCAACTCTTGTGTGTTCTTTTCAAAGCCTTTATCTGCATTCAATAGCTTTATCCCAGGTCCCCTTCTTCTTAGTTCCACCTTTTCCAAAGTCACCTTTGCTGTGTAAATTCCTCACATCAATTGTGCAAGGAAATCTTCATATAATTTAGAAAGCACTTAGTTTTTTAGACTGGAAACAAGCCGCATGAGAATATTGTTAACCATTTGCTCTGCTTGTACAAAAGGAGGAATGTAAGAGAGTGATTAATAATGTCCAAGGAGTTAAATGAAGCCCAAATTAAAAGCCTCAACTACTAAATACAAATAATTTCCTCAAATTATTTTCTTTTTGAAAATGATTTAATATAGATTTTAATATAGATTTTATTGTCATTTATAGGCCGCCCTTTTCCCTGAAGGGACTCAGGGCGGCTTACAATGATCATTCTTCATATTGGGGGGGAAAGTCTTCCCCATAAGTAGTGCTCTGTATAAAATGGCTTAAATCAGCTTGGTTACCAGAAGTTACGATTCATGATAACTAAATATAAATATATTCAAAAGAATAGATTTCCAAAGAGTGAGTGCAAGATACAAGTGAGGCTTCCTTCTTTATCATAACATTGAACTTCCATGGCTGACCCATATTTACCTACATTCTTTGCAAAATTCATTTCTACAAATGTCCACAGAGCAGCCCCAGTTCATTTTTCAGTCTGCTGCCTTTCACAGAATGATTTTTTAAAAAAAAGAATTATCAAATTTTACTTCCTTTAACCTTCAATCTTCTACCACTTACATAGACAGATCTGGTCCCCATTTTCCTCACTCTATTCAGAATCATTCAGCAAGAGAATTTCTTTTGTTTAATTTTATTCCTGAGAAAGCAGTCCAGTCCCCAGCTGGCCGTGGCTGATATGCAATAATAAATTATTGATCTTTAACAGTTATCTCCCTTCTTAGTACTACTGTGCCTGGAATAAGTTAAAGATCTTTATTTTGGAATTAACTTTATTGTATCCAGATGGAGGCACTTTAAGGGTAAAAATTTAATGTTAGATAAGATTTCCAGATTCAACAGTTTCCCTCCAGGCAATTCTTTATCACCACTCCTTCCCTGATATTTATTTTTATTTTATTTATTCAATTTCTATGGCTGCGCAGCTCAACCAAATGGCTTTGTCCAATGACAATTCCAACTGGTCATGAAATTTGTCATTGGTATCCTAAATGTATCTATGAAAGAGTATTGAAAAGGAGAACTCTATATTTTTATTTCAATATCTGGGACAGGATTTTCCCCTAATTTTGATTAGTATATTTTTCAGTATTGCCTACTTCTTGATCACTTCAATACATTATGATGATCACTTCCAAGCTACTGTGGAACTTGAAGTCAGTGCCCAAACTTGCAGTAGAACTAAACTAGCAGATATTCTCCAAAGAACAGGTTCAGACAATTTAGTGGACTTAGAATTATAGTGTATTGTTTTATAATTTCTAGCTTTCTAACTTGACAAGCTGTGATGAAGATTCCATATGAGATGTTTTGAGTAATGCCTTTATACTAAACAGTAAGATGCAGAAAACCCTAGCACCTAGGAAACCAAGATCTCCTATAAACTCTGATTTGAATGTATTGACGATAGGCTTATGAAATTAATAGCAATTTATATTCATCCAAAACAATGTTTTCATTAAATAGAACACTCCTTCCTTAAGTAGAATTGAGCTAAACTATCCCATAGTTTGTATAATGACTGGAACTGTCATAAAAATGTCAAGGCTAAGAATATTTTAAATTATATTCTGCAGAGGCAAAAAAAGAATCCTTACTTATATAGAGTATAGAATAGAAGGAAAATGTAGTGATCTATAGGCATAGATAGATATAGACACAAACGTACATTGTGCCTTAAGTCAACATAGATTCCTGGCAACTGCCTGGGACAAGTCTCTGCAGTTCTCTTAGGAAGATTTGGTGGTTTGCTATTGTCACCTTCCTATGGATCTTCTCAGCGGTGTCTAAAATAGTATGGAACCCTATTCCTGTTGAAATATAGTTTGTACATTTGGTACACATATTTTGGAGACTTGACTCCAGTTTAATTCCAATTTCATGTATAAGGAAATAATGTCTTGAGTTGCTATATGATTTCTAGTACTATGTTTTGTATGTTACTTCTTATCTTCTGAATACAGTCTTGTATAGAAGGACACAATTTCATAAACTATATAAAAGTGCTATTTATCTGATTAGGCAATAATAGCAGCAGCCACAAAGCAGAAATAGTCCAATATTAATATGCAAACAACTTTTGAATGGCAATCTTCGTTTAAGCTTGAGGTTGCCCCCAATGGGTAGAATTTAAAAACTTCCAGCTCTAGTGTTTCAAGTGCCTACATTCCTTGTAAGCTATGATGTTGGATTTATTGATAAAGTTTTGGAAGGGAAGATCTTTTCTTGTTTATTACAATCTGTCCATATTCCAGGAGAAACTTTCTCTTTCTAATTGGCTGATTATTTCTTGTTTCCATTGGCAAGAGCCCTGTTCTTTTTATGTAAGAGGCATGCAGTAAATGCTCAAGGCTTGTAATACAGTCACTTAGGATATAGTAAATTTTCCATGAAATCAGCTATGCCAGGATTTTTTGGGGGGGGGGAGAATTTTGCAATATGTCCATTGCTTGGACCAAATTCTGTCCCAATTGCTATTTTATTACTACCATCTTTCTAAAAAAACAATAACCAGATGGAGGGTTTTGGCTCAGAAGATAGACTATTCTATCTTTCTGAGTAGGATTACTGTTTTTAATCATTGTCCTTGATACCAACTGTAAGAAGCAGATTATAAATGACTGCTGCCATTTCTACACCATTTTGACTATTGCAGCTATTGCGCTACATTGCAGTGTGTGTGCGCACGTACGTGCGTATACATATGTATGTGTGTGTGTAGATAGATAGATAGATAGATAGATAGATAGATAGATAGATAGATAGATAGACACAGAGATACACACACACAAAGAAAAGAATTCCATTTTTTAGATATTGAAATAAGAAAAAAATATCATCTATGCATTTTTAAACATTATATC